TATACCAACTGAAAGTTAAACCTCTAATTCATGTAAACATTATCTAATTCATGACATCTGTAGCCATTCAGTTTGACTCAAGATAAAACAATAAAGGACAAGAAAATGATTTTATTTTTCAATCAGTTTCAATATTCAATGCATATTCAAATTGCTGACAACTGCTGATCTTTGTATAGATTTCATTTTTGGAACTTTTTAATTGGCATTTATCTTTTCTAAATTTAACACTTGCCACAAACCCTTTGGAAAGTTAACATTAGTCAGACATGGTATCTGTTTCCCCCATAGTCCCTTTCATCATTTTATTGTTTCCCTGGAGCATCTGCAGGGCTGTGTTACAACCTGCGAAGCCATCACACCATACTCCCCTTAGGCGATCTTAGCTGCCAATCTGGTTCTGCTACAGCATTTCTTCATACAAACTCACTACAATTTCTTTCTTTTTCAGTAATTAGAGTCTACATTTTGTTTCTATCAGAAATGAATTTTCTAGAAAAGCAAATTAGATACCTTTGTCTTCTTTTTCCAAATTTCAGAGTTAATTTCATTTTATATTGGTGATTATTTAGTTGTTCATGAAAAGTAAAAGTTAATGCCTTTATGTAGAATTAGTTTTAATTCCTAGCCCTGGCCAGTGTTACTCAGTGGTCAGTAGTTAGAGTGTGATCCCACACACCAAAGGGTCACAAATTCTATTTTTGGTCAATGGCACATACCTGGTTTGCAGGTTCAATCCATGGCCCAAGTTGGGTTACATGCAGGAGGAAACCAATTGATGTATCTTTTACACATTGATGTTTCTCTCTCTCTCTTTCTCTCTCTCTCTCTCCCTCCCTCCCCCCTCCTTCCATTCCTCCCTCCCTCCTCACCATTCCACTTTCTCTAAACATCAGTGGGGAAAATGTCTTCCCATGAGGATTAACAAAAAACAAAACAAAACAAAAAAACAGGAATTCAGTTTAATCCCAGAGGGAAAAAAATTAGTTTTTTCATTGATATTATTTCCCTAGCTAGGTTTAATTCAACTCACATTTCTTTTATTTATCTTTTTGTCTGTATATGAGATTGTCTTTTCTTTTCTTTTCTTTCTTTTTTACTTTTTTGTCTTTTTTTGCTTAATCCTTTCACCTTTACTCACAGTTCTTTTAATAATCAGTTATAATCCCCACAAGAATTTGAGCAGCAATAATACACAGTGTAACTCCTGCTCACTTTAAAGTTCTAGTGAACTCAAAGGTAAAGCATCCCCAGGTAACCAGAAAGAATGATGATAAAAAGAATATGCCCCTACCCTACAAAAAGGGAGGCATTCATTTCTTCCCTGTAGATTTGTTTATTCTATACTTAACACAAGGATAATAAGCTTTTAAAGGAATTTTGCTTAAAGAGGAGACAGTTAACTCTTGTTAATCCATATACATATATATATAAACCTAATATGAAATGTGTCCCCTCGGGAGTTCAACCGACCAGAAGTTCGAACTCTCACTATGACATCTGCTGACCCCCAGGGTGTGGCGTGGAACAAAGGAAGGCCCTGGCCCTGGCCAGCAGCCAGGGAAGGGAGGCCCCAGCAGGCAGCCGGCAGCCTCTAGGGCAGTGATGGCGAACCTATGACACTCCTATCCCTGGGTCCTGCTGCATGTCACGTGTCACCTGACACCCACACTCATTTTTTTTTGGTTGATTTTTCTTTGTTAAATGGCATTTAAATATATAAAATAAATATCAAAAATATAAGTCTTTGTTTTGCTATGGTTGCAAATATCAAAAAATTCCTATATGTGACACGGCACCAGAGTTAAGTTAGGGTTTTTCAAAATGCTGACATGCCGAGCTCAAAAGGTTTGCCATTACTGCTCTAGGGACAATGCCCATGCACAAATTTCATGCACTGGGCCCCTAGTTATGAAATAAACAAATATGAACCAGAAGATACATAAGAAATTCATTGTGGTTTTCAAATGATAGGTGAAAGCTTTCAAACTGTCCCTTTGGTGAACTGAAGACCTGCTGTAATCAGGTAATAAGAAGTATATCTGAGTCTGAGTTCTCTTATCAGTTCCGGTATCCATAACCCTTGACCTGCATAGTCTAGACATCCGCTCCACAGGGAAATTCATCCGACTTATGCTTCATTACCTCAGCAGCATTCTAGATATTTACTAATAAATCTCACAAATTAATCAGGAACTGGGTAGAGGGGAGATTATAGAGCGGGGGGAAGGGGGAACATCAGTAATACTCTCAACAATAAAGATTATTTTTTAAATAACTCAAAAAATGTTTAAAAATAAAAAAAGTTCTGTCCTAGCTGCTTTGGCTCATTGGATAGAGCATCGGCCTGCATACTGAAGGGTACCGGGTTGAAGTCTGATCAAGAACACATGTCCAGGTTGCAGGCTGGATACCCCGTAGAGGGCATTAAAGAGGCAGCCAATCAATAATTCTCTCTCAATATTGATGTTTCTCTCTCTCCCTCTCACTTCCACTCAGAAATCAATTAAAACACACACACACACACACAAAAAAAAATCTAACAAGGTTTGTTTAATGGAATTTGTTTTCAATGCCATTCCTGGCACCTTGAGCAATGCCTAATGCAAAGTGGGGGCTGTTATACTTGATGAATGAATGAATGAAAGCATTTGTCACACACTGAGCAGGATCCTTTGAAGTCCTTGGCCACACCTCACTTCCCAGCAGAGCCTCCTATCCCTGGGTCCTGCTGCATCTGGACAATTAAAGATGTTTGTCAAGTTGCCCACCTTCCCTTCTTTTTCTCTCCCTGCTGGGTGGCGAAGGGAGGGAGGACCTGGTCTCCTCTTAACTCCAGGCTGCTTTGCCTTTCTCACTCTCTCCCAGGGCCCAGCAGCCTTCTTGCTTCCTCTTCTCCCCTCTCCTGACAGCCTCCCTCTTGGACTTTCCAGGTTCTTTGTGGCAACTACCCTAGAGGTGCCTTTCTCCTCCTCTCCCTGCTCTGGGGTATCCCGCAGGAAGGCACGTCTCTATGTCACCTAACTAGCAGGACACTGTGACCCCTCTTTGTGGGGCTGTGTGTGTTTGTCTCTCCCTTCCCTTTCTCTTCCACATTATTCCCCTGTGCTTTTCCATGGGTTTGCATGGGGCTGGAAATGGACATTTCCAGGAAAACTCAAGCAATTTGGGTACTCCCGTGCTTCCAGAGAATGAGCTGCAGAGAGTCCTAGAAGTGTCGTGGAGAAGTCAATCCTTGGGATTCTCAAGTAAATATTTTAAGAATCAGAACTAGGACATACTGGAATCAGCATCTGGAAATATAAGGTTACTAGAGGCCCGATGCACGAAAATTCGTGCAAGAGTAGGCCTTCCTTCTTCCAGCTGCCAGCACTGGTTTCCCTCTGGCACCCCGGACCTGGGCTTCCCTCCAGACCCACAGGCAGGTACCCGGGACCCAGGCAGCTTCCCTTCAGCTCCGGCTTTGTCCAGAAGGACATCTGGAATGATGTCTGGAAGGACGTCTGGTCTAATTAGCATATTACCCTTTTATTATTATAGATTTTTTTCTTACTCTAACTTAACTCTCTTCTTATTCAGCATTCATTCAGGCATTGAGGAGGGAGTCTATGCCTCTCACGAGGAGATCACTGTGGTGAGGGTGAACACTGCACTCAACCAAGAAGACCTACAGTTATAGGAGCAGGTGTTGGGGGCTTGTGAATTACCTAGATTGATTGGAAGGCCAGTGGTGAGGTCCTGGCCCAAAGCAGAGGCAGCAGCGGGCATCTCCCGTGTTGAGCATCTGCCCCCTGGTGGTCAGTGCGTGTCATACCTACCAGACGGTAGGACAGTCAGGTGGTCACCTAGCCTTTTATATATATAGATATGCATTATCTATGAACACAGATAATAGCATGGTGAAGGCCTGGAGTGGGGTTAATGGGGAGGGAAGGGGGAACATCAGTAATACTCTCAACAATAAAGATTATTTTTTAAATAACTCAAAAAATGTTTAAAAATAAAAAAAGTTCTGTCCTAGCTGCTTTGGCTCATTGGATAGAGCATCGGCCTGCATACTGAAGGGTACCGGGTTGAAGTCTGATCAAGAACACATGTCCAGGTTGCAGGCTGGATACCCCGTAGAGGGCATTAAAGAGGCAGCCAATCAATAATTCTCTCTCAATATTGATGTTTCTCTCTCTCCCTCTCACTTCCACTCAGAAATCAATTAAAACACACACACACACACACA